CCATTCTATGATTCTATGATTTGACAGATGGATAATGGATAACAAACGGGTTCTTGACAAGAGACACCACGTAACAGAAAGAAATGCAGAATGTTGTAAGAGAAACCCTGCTCCTTACCTTGAAGCTGTTGCAGAAAGTAGGGACTAAATATTTTTGGCAGAAAATTCACTGGGTAACGTTGAACAAGGACACAGGAGTGCAGGAGGTTCAGCAAGGTGTGAGGCCGAAAGCGTCTAAAGTGAGTATGCAGGAGGGTTTCAAGCTTCCTAAACAAGGATGAAGCACTCGGAGGGAGATAGTTAAGAGTCCCAAATGGTGTAATATACTCAGCAATCTGGTCAGTGGTAAATCTGTCCGCATCGGAAATGAAACCTTCTGCTGCTGCATCAAAGATGGGCTTAGAAAGGATCCTCTTTCGGCAGCAGTACTGCATGACCTTGCTGACTGTCTGAGGATGCATGGTAAAGATGGACTTGGGAACATATGTTTCCAGCGCCTCTGTAAAAACCTGTTCACGATGTCCAAAGTATAGGAAGGCTTCCAGTACATTTACCAGTTCATCACCTGTGAAATACGGAATATGCTTCACAGAATGTTTACAGAGCGCTGTGACTAAGGAAACTGCGTGTGTCTGATGAAGAACCACCAGTGAATTCAGTATTATGCTTGTGAACTTTGGGCTTAGCTGTGAAACTAAGGCTAAAGTGACACTGTTTAGTCTGTTCAGCAAGTCTCGGTGTTGTTCCCCTTCCCTGACAGTCACCTGCAGCATCTTATAAACCATCACCACTTCCCTAGGACACCACTTCTCAATGTCTTTTTCTTGCATCTGGTTCACAATCTGTTCCAACCTTGCACAGCTTGGGCCTTCCAACTCAAGCAAGCTCTCTCCAAGAACACAGAGATTTTTCAGAGTCAGCTGTCCTTTAGCAAGCCGCTCCGCACCCTCTGAAAGCAAGCTTGTCATCAGCGTACTCTGTGGATCTACGCGTAGCTTTATCAAAGCTTGCAGTGCATTCAGCAGCCCAGTGTCCGACAGTTTTGAGGATTCCAATTCAAACTGGAAGCATAATGCCCTGAAAACTTCATTCTCTAACACTCCTTCGGGATTTTTCAGACCGCTGTCACCCACCTCAACTTCAGAAATCCTCTGCAGGGCTCCCGAGGCCATAGTATCAGACATGGCTTCCAGAGAGCCAAGAAAATCAAAAATCTCTTCAGACGTACAAAGGCTGTTCAACTTCTTGAAAAACAGTTGTTCATCCATCCACCCGTTATCGGCTTTAGGACCGCTGCCGGTATTTCCGCAAAGATGCATGGTGTCATTAACAGAAAGAGACTGTATCCGCAGCTGTACGTGGTTTTTTCTACAAAACATGTACTGAGCTTTATCTCTGAAGCAGAGCATCCTCATGGCTACGGAGCTACAGTTTTGGGTCTTTCGCTGCCCACTGATAAAGCTCAGCCTTCTGCTTAGGGTCATCAAAACGGATCTACTTGCCGGCGTGCTGGATGAATAAAACTGGAAACTTTTGCGGCTAATCAAAGCCATGTTGGATCAAGCGGGTTCTCAAAAGATACCTAGAGGAAGAAATATACATGTAAATACGCGGTTTGGAAAACAGCGTCAGTGTCACGTCCATGCAGCAAAAAAACATCACCAACTTTTAGCGGCTGGGCACGACCTGGGACCATCCCTCTCCCACGTCCACTAGCGCAAGGCCACGAAAAAGCTGGGAGCGGCGAAACCTGCATGACCGGTCGCAAGGCCTCTCTGTCCCGCGCCTCCCGAAGGACCCTACGCGGGGGGAGGGACGCTTCCCCAGGCAGGAGCTGCGCGGCGCCGCTTTTCCCTCTACACTAATCCTCTAGTGGAAGGTGTCCCTGCCCATGGCAGGGGGGTTGGAACTAGATGGTCTTTAAGGTCCCTTCCAACCCAAACCAGTCTGATTCTGTGATTCTCGCGGGCCGGGGGCGCTCGGTAGCAGAGGGCCGGCATCCCCGTTACCCGCGGCTGGAGGGGGTCGGCGGGAGGGTCGCGGCCGGGGGACGACGGGCTCGTCTG